GCGGAATCAGCATTTCCCCTCCTGCAGAGGCAATATCCCAAGCCAGGCCGAGGAAGGCCCTAGTGCTAAGTGGTCCACCTTTACTCTTCTTAAGTGGCCCATCTTTAAAAATAGCCTACGTCTGCCTCAGGCCTGACCCCTAACATGTCTTACATTTAGTTGCAAATTACTGTCTCAGCAACTCTGCAGGCTTCCCAATCTGGCCTAAACCCAGCTATAAAGGCCGAAAACAAATGGAATTAGAACCTGCAGTCTGCAGAGGCGAGTTGGGATGTGGATGTGAGGGCTCATGGGTAATCCTACTTAGCATAAACTGGGCAGCAGAACTTGGTTTGAGGGAGCTCCCAGGTCACCACGTCCAGCCCCTGCTTAGAGTCACAGGAGGGAGGACCAGGCAGTCTAGACACTGTCCTTCAAAGAACAGAGAAACAGAGTGACATGGGGACCAGGCAGCCTGGCCTGCCATCACCCCCAAAGGTCTGGACTCCACACCTATTTAATGAACACCTACTATGTGCCAGGCCATGAGGCAGCATCTCTCAAAAATCTTTGGTCTTGGGGCTTCCCTGGTGGCGCAGTGGTTGAGAGTCCACCTGCCGATGCAGGGGACACGGGTTCGTGCCCCGGTCCGGGAGGATCCCACGTGCCGCGGAGCGGCTGGGCCCGTGAGCCATGGCCGCTGAGCCTGCGCGTCCGGAGCCTGTGCTCCGCAACGGGAGAGGCCACAACAGTGAGAGGCCCGCGTACCCCAAAAAAAAAAAAAAAAAATTCAAATTCATTAGTATCACCATAGTTCTCATCAGAGGCTGTTTCACGAGAAGATGTCAAGCTCAGAGTGGCAGATAAAGTTTTCCAAACTTCTAATTTTCACTGAACAGCTTGAATTTTATCACTGGTGACAAATACTGCCTGTTGCTTTCGTTAAAGTGACAGGCTCACTTTGTTCATTTTTGAGAAAATATCTGCCCAAATTTGAAAACCCTGGTGTGTCAGCTGTTCTTTCAAGTAAAAATGGTGTACCATTAAAAAAGTGACCAATCCAGTGGACAATTCAATTACACATGTTTTTCTTGACCTTACCTTCAGCAACCAGTGTGCTTTGGTATGCGGCAGAAGTGCTTTCTATGTAGCTGTCCTTTTTATTTTTTTTTTAAACACAGATCATTAAAAAGACAGGTACTCAAGGGAGGAGATTTCTAAAGTTAATCATTTTACTGCTTCATTTAGAACATTCTTAAGTGAAACTGGTATATGTGTGATAGTGAAGGACACAACGATTCCTTGTACACTTTGGTGCTGCTTCCTTGGTGTGTACTAAGATGCCAGCAGTTTTACTCACCACCAGTCCAGATAGCAACAGGATGAAAAATGCAAACAATGTCCCAGAGTTATGATGAAAACAGTTTTAACCTCAAGAACCTGCTAAAAGAGTCTGGGGGAATCCCTAGCAGTCTGCAGACCTGCTTTTGGAAACAGGCACCATAAAGAAAATAAACAAGAGAGTTCATATTATTAATAATATTGGCCACCACCATGGAACACCTACTATACACCTTACACTTTACATACATTATCATATCTAATGGTCTCCAAAAACCTCTGAAATGCAGCTAAGTATCCGCTTTGCTTGGAGAAGTTGGGTAACTTCCTCAAGGACAACAGAGCAAATATGTGAGGAAGATCAAGATTAAAGCCGACTGCCTGACTCCAAAGGTCACTTTTGTTCTTTCTATTTCCTTCCCTAAGCAGTGTCCTGGGCCTCCAGTGCTCCAAACTTCAGCTGCTCCCTACAGTTGACCAAAAAAGACCTAGTCCCTTCCACTCGGCATTCAAGGCCTCCCAATCCAGCTCCATGTCCCTTTCCTAGCCCTGCCTTCCATGAATCCTAAGTCCGGCCACACTAGGATCCTTTCATCCAGACTTGCTTCGGGCTTTTCCTGAGCAGTGACCTCCACCAGAAGTCCCTGCCCCCTTCCATCTTGATCAACTGTTGGAATCCTACCAGTCTTTTCAGGCTCAGACAACCTCTCCTTTCTAATTGTCTGCACCTCTTATTTGCGTTCACGTCATGCATCATGGTCTGCCTACAGCTACTGATCGATTCATTTATCCACTCCTCGAACCTAATGACCCATCACTGGACTGCAGGCTCTTTGATGGCTGGGACCACATGGTCTAAGAATATTATCTCTTGGTTCTTGCACTTGCTCTTCGAGCCTCCTGTTTCCCCCTCTGTAAAATCGATATCAGCACCCTACCTCATAGAGTTGTGGTGAGGATTAAATGCATTAATGTACGTCAAGCGCCTAGAAAACTGCCTGGCACATAGGAAGGACTCAATCAGTGTGAGCTGCTTCTGTTGTTATCATCATAATAATTATCGCTGTCAAATATCATTAAGGGAGTGGGGGTGAGCACCTTCTTGCTCTTATCAGTTTCATGGCCCACTTTCCCATAATAAGGGCAGGCTCCGGTAACACGATGCATTTTAAGCCGGTCTAGAAGCGTGAAAATATGTCCAGATATTTATTACTTTGATTTTCCTGCAAGCAGTTCTATTCCTGGGGACTTATTCCAGTTGGGTCCCTCTGTTCTGTTCCTCATGCCTGCCAAACCTCCACGGACCTGAGAAGTCTGAAAATAACTGAGCCAGGCCCTCCAGGCGAGTCGCAGAGAAGGCCCAGGGCACTCAGGGCCCTCATTAAAAAAACTTCAGTGGGGTTGGCTTTGTATCAGCTGAGCCGCCTTCCTTTTTCAGTTCGACCCAACCACCCTCTCTGGGATCCGAGCCCCTTCAGTCCCGCCGGGCACCCCGAACCAGAAAGATAATCAGTGCCTTGAACTTTGATCTCTGCTGCTGTCACTCTGATCAGCAGGTGAGGAGAACTCTCCAGTCCCTGGGCCCTGCCCCGCCTGAAGCAGGCTGGCGGGTTGTTGTCAGTGTGCTGGGTTTGTTTTTAAGGTCAGTGAACAAAGCGCCCTAGAATGCGAGCTGCCTCAGGTTTGGTTACTCTGTTCTCCAGATATGATGAGCTCTTGGGATTGTGTGAATTCTGAGGAGGGCAGGATGTGTGCATGAGCTCCAAAGGGCAACACAAGCAAATCAGTTACATCCGGGCTCCCGAGTCCTATTTCCAAACATGCTTCCGGCCTGCAGATACTGTTATTAGAGACGGTGAGCCGCTCCGTGCAAAGACCTGATGCCATTTCCCACTCGTTTCATCATCTTTCTAAGGTTGGTACAAAAATTCTGCCCGATGCCACGGAGGGTACCGTTTCTGTGGCCTTGGATCAGCCGCGGTCACCATAGCTAGCACTTTCTATACTCCAGCCCCCGGGTGCAACTCTTCACCAGTATTGTCTAGTTTCACGCTGAGCACGGCCCTGGGGGGAGTCTGGATACCTCTGTTTGACAGATGAGGAAAGTGCACCTCCCAGTGGATAAGTCACTCATCCAAAAGATACCTCTCCTTGACCCAGGAACCAGGAACCAAGGCCAGTGTGATCAGCTCCATGGTGTGAGGGCTTTCGCTGTGGGGCCCTGGCTGGTTCTCTTTGCCATCCATCACGCTTAGCTGAAATGAACTGGGGAAAAGTTGGAACTAGTATTTTGGGAGAGTCTTCACCTGCACCAGACCCATGCATTATCTTATTTCCTCCTGTAAACAGCTTTGCGAGGTGGGAATTATCACCCTCAGGTTAGAGGAGAGGATTGGGGGGCTCAACTTGTCAACTGGCTTGCCTAGGTCCACAGTCAGAGCAGGATCCAGACTCAAGTCAGCGTGAGCTCAGAGCCCAAGCCCTTCCTGCCACGTTCATTGCTCCCGCTGTACTAGGACGTCTGGTTCTCCAGGGAGAGCCGAGGGAAACCTCTCCCGGACAATGGGCACAGCTGACAGTGCTGGTCACTGTCAGTGAGAGGAAAGAGGAGAGGAAAGCCTGATACCAAAAAGATTTGGGGGTAGGGGACTGCAGTGCAGGGGAGACAGGTAGGAAAACAAGAAGGCAGGTCCCCGCAGTGTAGGAACAGGGAGTCTAGGGACAGACAAGTTGGTTCTATGACCATACCTGTTCCTTCCACCAGAATCAGGAGTGCCTAGCCCTCCAATTCCAGACCCTTCCAACTTCAGGACTCAGTTTAAGCACCACATTGTCTACAGAGCCTTCCTCCAGCCCACAGTGACCCCAATCTCTGCTAGCATCTCATGTCTGTGCCTCTCGCTCTGTCTTTCAATTATGTACATACTGTGATCTGTCTCGAGTGTCCTGAGACAGAGCGTCCCCATCAGATAGGAGGTTCCCATTGAGATAGGAAGTTATTAAGAAGGAGGATATTGTCCTATTAATTCCTTTTTTTATTCCTCACAGAACCCAGAAGACTGGCATAAACAAATATATGCGCAAATACATGTGGTATTGAACCATTCCCATTTTACAGAGAAAAACAGAGGAACTCCTATAAATTAGGTCAGCAGCTCCACAGTTATCTGATTTTCCTCTAACACTAAATCTCCTAATTGCTACTATACCCCAAATCAAAGCCAAATAAATGTGGATTGATTTTAAAAGGAGGAGAGGGAAGAGAGGCAGAAGGGGGTATGGGAGAAGAGGTGGAGGAAGGGGAGAAAGATAAGGGGGAGGAGGGGAGAGAAGATGAGGAGGGAGGAAGAAGAGGAGGAAAAGGAGGAGGAGGAGTGGGAGGAGATGAGTGGGGGGAGGAGGAGATAAGTGGGGGGAGGAGGAGATGAGTGGGGGGAGGAGGAGGAGGAGATGAGTGGGGGGAGGAGGAGATAAGTGGGGGGAGGAGGAGGAGAAGGAGATGAGTGGGGGGAGGAGGAGATAAGTGGGGGGAGGAGGAGATGAGTGGGGGAGGAGGAGGAGATGAGTGGCAGGAGGAGGAGGGGGAGGAGATGAGGGGGAGGAGGAGGGGGAAGAGGGGGAGGAGATGAGTGGGGGGAGGAGGAGATGAGTGGGGGGAGGAAGAGATGAGTGGGGGGAGGGGGAAGGAGATGAGTGGGGGGAGGAGGAGGAAGAGGGTTTTGCACTGGAATAGGACACAGCTTCAAACAGAAATGGGTACAAAATGAGACTAGAGACAGAAATAGCACGACTCTCAAGCATGAATTCTATTCTGCCCAATCTAAAAAGAGATTTTTCTGCCATGCAAACCTCCCCTTCTGCGCCTGCTTCACGGAGATGTAAGGCATAACTGACTTCATCGACTGTGGAAACCTAACCCGCCATAGAATGAAGTACATTCGGAACTCTGTCGGGTTAATCTCGACAGAAATCTGGCAACAAGGTCAAATCTTGAAGCAAAACAAAACAGCCAAGCGGGAATTTGCAGCCTGGCCATGCCTCACGTGGCACGGCGCGGGCAGGCCCTGTGAGGTGCTCCAAGGGGCGGGCAGGCAGGGGCACTTTACTTCTAGCTAACATTTAACATCCTGGGGACCCCCAGTGCCCCCCACAGAGCCTGACACAGGAGATGCTCCACAAACCTCTCACCTGTTCCCATCTCTGAGTTTACACACACAGTCAGTGACTGTCAAATTTAACCACTTTCGTTAACATCAGGATTCGCCGGCTAATCTCAATACTGGCCACATTTCAGACTTCCTCAACAACATGGTTTTCATATTTATTCATGCTGGCAGTATTATTAGTAATGAACTTCACAGATGATACGGGCATTCTGGGTATTTATATGTGGCTGGCACCTTACCTAAGCCTTCATACCTGGACCATTAGATCAGTTTTGACCGAACTGTAACATATGCTGTATGTCTTGTGTTTTCTCTCACTTACTGTGTTCAGAATTACGTATTTGTAGGTTTCCTTGTTTCGTGTGTCTTCACCCCCTTAAAAATACTGATGTCTGTGAAAACCAGAATCATTTGTATTTTGGTCACCACACAGTTCCCCATGTATAGTATATAACATGGCACTAATACAATGCATTGCACACGGTAGGTACTTAACAAACATTTACTGAATGAATGAATGAATGGTGCTGGGTTAAATGTCTCTTGGTGCCTGACCCCAAGCAGGCAGCCCTTTGTGAATTGGCTGGTCACGCCAACGTGTGTTGGGACCCCAGATCCAACATCCAGGGTGGCTGCAGGTCCTCTGTTTGCACAGCTGGGACCAAGGAGGGCTTGGTCATGGGAGTGATCTCAGGTTGGGGGCCTGGAGGATGGGCCCACCGTGGAGCTTGCTTGACCACTGCCCCAATCAGGACCCAGCTGGGGAAGGGTATCTCCGATTCCAGCAGGACTACCTGCACCCCTGGCAGCCAGCACCAGTGTGTGCTCCACACGCTAAGAGCAGCAGGAGAGCCTGGTGGCAGACAGGAGAGCGTATTCACCCCCTCCACCCAGGTGCGACCCCCACGGTCAGGGAGACATGCACTGTGTGAAAGTGGGCCACACATAATAATGGCGGAACTACACCTCTCTTCTGAACGATCTGTCCTTTAATGCAGAGTCACAGCAGGTGTAGGGCAAAGAGGGGCCAGAGCAGGCCTCCAGGGAGACATTGGTGAAAGCACTCCACCCTCAGTACGTGTTCTGGACTCTGGGCCCAGCCCCAGTCCTCCGGGCAGCCTTCCTATGAAATGAGCTCTCCCAGGGCTTCCCAGAAACCATCTGCTACCCCCACCCCGCCGCTCCATCAACCTTGGCCACACGTGCCCCCTAACCAGTCCTGTCCCCACCTCCAAGCCTTTGAACTATTGCTTCCTTCCCAGGTCCCTCTTCCCTCCGGCCGGAGCATGGCCGCTCCTTGTTATTTAGATCTCGGTTCAAATACTGCCCCGCAAGAGAAGCTTTCCCTGACCACCTACTGATCTGGACCCCAAATGATTCTGATCTTGACTTTGCTTGTTTGTTTCTTGTTAGCTTCAAGAACTGAGATCAGGCCACCTTTCACTTACTCTTTTAGCCCAAACCCCAGCACAAGGCAGCATGTAGAAGGTGCTCAATAAATACTGATACTTTTATGAACGAATGAGAGACTGAGTGAATGCACGTGCTCAGTTAAACAGCGAGAACCAGCCCAGCTTCCCGGGGTCCCTTCGATGCCAGGCCTGTCCAGTAATGAGACTAATCCCAAGATCCGTGGATGATGAGGCAGAAGCCCTTGAGAAGAGTCTCCCTATCTCGGGAGGGGCTCTGGGTCTAGGCCTGGTTAAGTTTTTCTTCTTACTGAGCACTGACTATACAGCAAGCAGACCTGCAGGCCTTTGTTTAATTCACAGCCTCCCTCTGCATGGACACCATGGTGATTCCCATGTCAGAGATAAGGAGACACGCTTGAGGATGTTAAGCAACTTGTTCAAGGTCTCTTGGCTATGAAGTCACAGACCTCGCTCGGCCTGGCCCTGAGGACCCAGTGCTTTGATACCTCTCTCTCCTGCTTCCCTGCAAATCCCCACGTCAGTCTGCAAGTCCACGCCCCGGGGGGATGAGGCAGGAACAAGAACTCTCTGAATGAAGCTGTTCCTACTCCTTCACCCAACAAGCACCTGCCAGGCCTTTGCTCTGTGTGGGTCCCAAAGCCAAGGGCTGGGGACACAGAGCCACGAGGCTGAGCCCCACCCTCCTGCAGCTCAGGGACACCCATGTCGCAGTGAGTCACCCATCACAGTGGTCTTCTAGAAAGTTTTTTCTTAATCAAGGGTAATTAAAATTCCTCCAGTTTTTGAGGATTTCTTAAAATTCCTTCAGCAGGGTGGTGAGGGGGGCGGTGATAGTATGTGGAGTGAGTACTAATGTCTGAAATCAGGGGAGACCCTTGAGGTGGTGGGGGAAGCTTGGGCAGATAGCAAGCTGACTAGGTGGGCCGGCCTCCCAGGGCTTTCCCCACTTTGGAGCCATTTCCTCACCAAATTCTGACTGCCCCCCTCTCCAGCCCAGAGCTCTGTACCCTGGAGGAGGACCAGAGGGTAATGGCGTGGGGAAAAGTGCCCTGCTCAGCATTTGGCAGAAGGTCCTGGAGTACAGACACCAGGACCTCTGCTGAGACACTGGAATTTAATTTGAAGCCCAAAGTTTGTGCGCTCACCCTGTCTCTCTCTCTCTCTCTCTCTCTCTCTCTCTCCCTTTCATTCATTCATTCACTCCTGGCACACTGCACATTCTCCCCTCCTCCCACGGCAAAGCCCATTGTCATTCTGGTGGCATTTCAGCCCACTGCAGGCCTAAGGAGGCTCCCTCTTCCAGATTTCTCTGTCGAATCGCTGACAAGGACAAAGCCGTTAGGAGCGAGATTCGGTAACTAGTTTTTTAATTTTCATGGCCTGAGGTTGTCAGGACAGTGCAGAGAAAATTGCCAACGATTCGGAGAGTGGCCCACGGATCTGGGGCAGAGCAGGCGAGAACAAGGGAGCACTTCAGCTGGGGCGGGGGTGTTGGCAGCCACTCGGATGAGAAAGTTCTCTTCTTCCAAATTTCTTTGATTCAGATGCCATGCTAATTGAAAAAGATCGATTCAGCAATTTTTCACCCTTCCTCAATACAGTGTTTTAGAGGGCTGAGAAAGAAAAAAGAGAAGGGGTCCTCCAGGGATCCTTCTGTAGGGTGGGATAAGGACCAGTTGACCATAGGTTGCTAGGAAATGGGGGTTATTCATTTGAGGGAGAGTCGTCATATTCCCCAAATTTACTTTGCATCCTTGGATTACAGCACAAACATAGCTCCAGATTAAGGCACACTGTCAGAGTGAAAAGATCTGCATCCCAACCCCAAGCTCAGGCACAGCGTGGCTGTGTGGCTGTGGGTTGGTGGCTCTCCCTCTCTGAACTATGAAAACGGAGGGGATTGAATAAAACAACTCCTAATATCCTTGCCCATCTCTGTGCGTCTCTGCCTTTACCAAGCCCATCAGGAATCTTTTCATTGCTTCCAGTCTGAGGTCTCTGGTCTCTTGAGTAGACTCTCAGATGGATCTAAATTGTAAGGACTGGCCTGGGACCTCCCAAGAGGTAAGTGATAGGACGGTGGCATCAGGACGAACAGTTTTCATTTAACCCTGTCACGCCAACCAAGATTCCCCAGCTGGACATATTCGGGCACGCTAACACAGAATAATGTGATGAACTTGCACTGGGGTTTTGTTTTATGGTTCCCAGAACTCTCTCAAATACATTCTCTTTCAAATACATTCCTTACAACCACTCTAGAAGTGATGTCCTATAATCAGCCCCATTTTACAGATAAGAAAAGTGAGGTTCACATGCCCAAAGGCTGACCAAGTCTGACCAGAGCCCCCGCCCAGCACCCTTTGGCTTGCTCTGGCCTAAGACAGACAAAGGTTGCTCCCAGAGAAGCAGCTCGTGCAGGGGAGAGAAGTCAGGTGCCTCTTGCCAGATCCTTCCTTCCAGCTCCTGGCTCCCGTGCCGCCCCACGCTGCCCTCTCAATTGGTTGCATCCATCCAAGTCTCTTAGTCGGGGAAGCAACATAAATGAACTCGGTGATTTAAGTTGAATGTGAATTTATCGAAAGGATACTGAGCGGCTCACAGGTGAGACAGGAAGGCTGGAGAACTAGGCTTAGGGAGTAGGCAAGAGAAAAGGGAGGCCACACAGCCCGAATCACAGCCCAAACTCTTGCAATGGAACCAGCCCAACAACGTCACCCACTGCAGCTGCTACAAATGCCAAGCCCATGGTATTGCCGCTGTAGCACTATCTTCTCTGGCCTTGGCCACGTGCCTGCACCTGAGCTGCAAGGCGAGCTGGGAAAGTGGTACCTGGCATTTTCATCTATAGGAAGGCTCTGCCTCCCAACAAGTCTCAAGAGGGTAAAAGTTACCCCCAAAATAGAAAGGGCATTGAGATGTCAGGCAACCAAATAGATGGTAGGTGTGCACTGTTAGGTTAGGATGGGCAAGGCTGTGATAACAAAAAAAAAATCCTAAATTTTTAAAATGCCAAAGATTTATTTCTTGTTCACGCTACAGATCCATCAGGGGTCAGCTGCGGGCTCTGCTCCCGGTCACAGGCTGATGGAGCACCCACCATCACTGGCCACTGTCACCTCAGCAGATGGAAAGAGAGATCTGGAGCAGCCATTGAAGGCTCTAGGCCAGAAGTGACATCACTTCCACTCATGGCTCATTGGTTGGAACTAGTCACATGGTCCTGCCTTGGGTCTAGAAAGCAGAGAGCTGAGACTATCCAGTGAATAGCATTAATGATGCCCACAGTCTGCTACATGGAGCCCGCCAACCAGAGCCTTCCTAGGGAGGGAGGAGAAGAAAAAGGCACTGAAATGGGGTCAGGAGACCTGAGTTTCATTCCAGGTTGAGCCACTGGGACCTGTACGTTCCTCTAGCACCCCTAAGGGACAGAGGAAACCCCAACTTTGGAGTGTGATCACGGAAGTGGTCCCCTCAAATTGCACGTGGCAGCAGCAGATGCTCAGAGCACAGCCCACCAATGAAGCCCTGGAGGGGCCAGGAGTACCCAGAGCCAGGAGCCAAGGCAGCCTCCTGGAGCTCAGGCAGGCAGGCAGCCTCGTCCTCACTCATAGGCTCCTTAGCCATTGTACTGTCTCCCCAGAATGATGGGCACTTCTCAGTAGCCCTAGCATCCCTCTAGAAATAAAGTCTCTACGGGCAGCAGGAGCTGAGCTATTTGGTGTATCCACAGGCCTCTTGGGCCCATACTCTATTTCAGCTACAGAGAGGTGACTGGCCAGGCTGAGTCCCAGGAAAACACAGGGAAGCAAAGCCCTATGAGTGAGGGTCTGCCTGTACCTATGAGGGGCCTCAAACACCCCGGGTCTGACTGGCCCCCAGCCCTTCCTGAAGTTGCAATGTTGACACTTCTAAAGGAGTGAGAACAACTCTTGGTACCATTGTACACCATGACCAACAGACTAAACATTTAAGCTTCCTTCAATACCCAGTCCAGGGAAAAGTTCAGGTTCACTTCTGAGGTAAGTGGTCTTCATAGATACGGCCCAGAACACTAGTTTCCTCCCAACGTGCATTTGCCCCTTCTTCCTTAATAACATGAACACCAAATTTTAAACAGAGGTTGTAACACAAAGGTCCAGCAACACTTCCCAGCCTGCCCGCGGCGCCCTCGGGCCTGGAGACTTGGGCAGCGACCTTCGATCAGAGCTCTCAAGCTGGCGGAGGAGCCTGGGAGCCTGACGGTCATGGAGCTGCCCTGTCGGCCTTCCTCCAGACTTATATAATGAGATAGACAAAATTCTTCTATTTTGTGGTTTACAATTATTAGCAGCTCAGAATTCCGTGGCAGTCCCATGGTTAGGGCTTTGCGCTTTCACTGCCGAGGGTGCGAGTTCGATCCCTGGTCAGGGAACTAAGATCCCGCAAGCCGCGCGGCACAGACAAAAAAAAATAAAGTAAATAAATAAATAAATAAAACAATTACTGACAGCAAAATTCAACTGTGAAAAGCTATCACAGAGGCAGAAAAATAATTGTTAACACTGCTATCTTCAAAGGGGTGTGGAGCTTTTTAAGAGGATAACCTCATGTTTGGATGGCCTCCTCCATGGGCCTGGAGGTGCAACAGTGGGCCTGGAGCTGAGTTTGGAAGAGAGGGCTTGAGAGGGCTGACTTGTGGTGCATCCCAACAGGATTATCTGGCATTTCACAGGCAAACCATGAGGGTGGGAGTGAAGAGGTAGGCGGAACCGGGGAGGGGAGAGAAGAGGTAAGGAGTTGCACTGAGGCTGGTGCACCCGTGGGGAGAAATAGCTGACCATGAATCCCTCGGGACATGTAGAGTCCTCTAAGAACAAGGCGGTTGAAAGTACAATTTGCAGTTTGTTTGTTTTTAATGTTGCTGAAATGTCAGTGTCTCCTCTGATACTCTCAGAACTTCAATCTGTGCCAAAGAATCAAGGTGCTGAGGTTCACATGAAAATCCATTAACTAAAATGAATACAGCAGAGGCAGGAGCTCCCAAGCAGAGATGACCATGGAGAAGTTGCAGAAATTGTGGAAGGGGTCCCACCTGGCCTAGGAAGGCAATGGGTTGGGGCGGGGGGAGGTGATGAGGAAGGAGTGAGCAGTCTTAGCCAGATCTCAAGGGGCAGGGACGCCCTAGCCAACACCTACCACATGAGATGCCCCTTCTAGCTTCCTCATCCGTCCCCCTGCCCCCAGCTTCACCGGGTCCAGTCACACTCTGTGCTGTTCCAGAGCAATCTTTGTCAATTTTGCATCTGATACTGCCCCTGCCCTATTTAAAACCCATTGTCTCCACTCCAAGGTCACATTCAGCCTCTGAAATGGTAGCCTTTGAGGTCCCAGCTTATTTCATCAACCTCATCTCTTTCTGGTCCCCACTCCACCCCAAATACATGCTCTGCAACCCATGGGACTGGCAACCCTTTTCCGAATATATCCACGCTCTTCAAGACTCTGGGCCTTTGCTCAAGCTGTACCCTCTGCGTGGGACCCTGAACCTCTCTCTTCTCTACCTACTTATCCAAGAAAGGTCCTTTAGTCGCAGCAGAAATGAATTCTGGCTGGTTTAATCAGTAAAGGTATGCAGTAAAGAATATGGGGTGGCTTCCAGAATCCCTGGGAGGGCCAGAGATCCAGGCTTGGAGACGACATGGACAGGAGCCACCGCCAAATCACACCATGGAGATGCCACTGTCCCAATGCTGGCACAGAACAGCATCAGGTGCCTCTGATGTTGCCCGCGCAGGTACCGGACACCCTGCGGGGCCCCGCCATGGCCCTTCTGGAGGCAGACACCACCTCCCCCAATTATGAAGCTTCCTTCTTCACACGCTACCTGCTGTGTTAAGCGCCAGATCGGCCTCTGATGGCTGAAGTCAAGACCACATGTTTGGGAAGCTGGGAAAGCAAGTCTCCGGGCTCCCAGGTAGAAGGGGGTCTCCCCAGCCTGCCAAGACTCATAAGGTGGGGAGGGCCCAAATGCAGGACCATGTTCCAAGGCACTGCTACAAAGAAGGGCGATGCCCACCACCCTCATTAGGACCCTGTCTGAATGCCACCTTCTGTGGGACGGCCCCAGAGCTGCCTCGATCAGTTACCGGCACTCCTCTGCACCCTTCGTACCTGCCTCCATTCTCAGGCACCACTATTGATGGCCTCCCTCTAGGTATAAACTCCCTTCTTTTTACAGACAAGAGATGCAAGAGCCAGAGGGGAGATGTCACTGATATTTTCAAGGGAACCTTTAATCAAAGGTGATCACTTAGGTAGAAGTAGCCACCTGGGAACAAGGGTGAGGGCTGAGGGTAGGAGCTGAGGCAGGGATGACTGAGAGACGCTGGAAAACCCACATGCCAGAAACAATCACCCTTTCAGACCTGTTGATGGGGGTCTGAATTTTCTACCCAAAGTGGCAACCGTTCCTAACTTTGGCCCATTGTCAGAACCTCCTAGGAAACTTATAATAAATGCAGATGGCCAAGACCCACCTCTAAGGATTGATTCTGCAGATCTGAGGGGAAGGCGGGGCATCTGTATTTTTAATGAGGCCCTCAGAGAATTCTGATGAACGCCAAAGTTGAAGAAAGACTGACCTCAGCTGTCTACAAAGGTACACAGAGCAAACTAGGTGGATTTATAGTCATTCCTAGACATGATCTGAAGGGATGGGGCCCAGGAGAAGGAAGTTAATTCATTCATGCTTTTAGTTAATCATTTGTTAGTTAGTTTTTACATTCAGTCATTCCATAAATGATGGGTTTAGTGGAGGAATGGGGTCAGGGTTATATCAGTCAGGATGGCTAGATTATGCTGCAGTAACAAACAACTCCACAACCTCAGTGGCGTAAAACAACCAACGTTTATTTCTCACTCCTGCTGGTTCATTAGGGGCCAACCAGGGCCCCTCCTCCATGTCCCCTCACTCTGGGGCTCAGAATGATAGATCAGCCACTATCTCAAATTGCGCTGGTTATCATGGCAGATGAAAGGAGAATTCTTGGAGGGTCTCTTGTTGGTACTTTTTAAAAAATTTTTTATTGGAGTATAGTTGCTTTACAATGCTGTGCTAGTTTCTGCTGTACAGCAAAGTGAATCAGCTTCATGTTGGTACTTAAATGTCCTGGCCCAGAAGTGACACAACTCTCACTTCTGTTCACAGCTCACTGGCCAGAACCAGTTTGTAACTGGCCCCTAACTAACCCTTAGGGTGTTGGTTTAGGACTGCTGCATCTCGACGCCACAGCAGGAAGGGGCAATGCTTCTATCAGCAAGGCCAAGCTTTCCCAGATACCCTCAGCTTCTATCTCCTTGGCCAGAAATGGCACCTATGGTCACTCCTAGCAACAAAGGAATCTAGGGAAGTACACACTTCAACAGGGCACACTGAAGCCCCAGACAAAGTTGGGTTCTGTTGATAAAGAAGGGGAATGGATACCGGATAGGCAACTAGAAGTAAATGATTCGATATGTGTGTCACTGGAGAATGAGAGACGGCATTGTAGGTGTGAAGACAAAGGCAGAGGACGGATCCAGACCACAGCAGCAGTAGCATGGAGGGCTCGACTGTGCACTTGGCTTCACTGAGCCCACCAAGTTAGGGACTGGCTGAGTGGTTCTCTATGTCATCACAAGATTAAAACTAGCAAAGTAATTAAATATGCATTAATTATGAATATATATTATTCAAGATTTCTGCCCATAACAGACTACAGATGAGTACATTAGGATGTTGTTTCAAGACCATATTATTAGCTATTAGTGCCTACCATGTGCCACCTTCTGCATATATATTATCTCTACATTTCACGACAAACTGAGGCTCAGAAGATTGTCCTAGGTCACACAGACGATAGCAGAGGTGCTGGATCCAAACCCAAGCCAGATTCCCAACTTCCCATTCTTTTCTCTCCATTATATCAGGTTCCCTCTTCCACTCAGCGTTCTTTAGTAATGATAATTCAAAATGACAACGTGTTAAAAACACTGCAGCCTGAAATGTTATCTAAGATGCATGTTAGGTGGGAGAGGCAGTGGTAGTATCGATTGGTGCTGAGGACGCCTGCTTATCAAAGCCCTGTTTTCTGAGTGTGTATTTGGATCCAATCTGTCATTAGAGATGCTGGAAAACATCGCAAAGAAACAAACAAAAAGCAGCCAAGATCCTTCAATGCAGATGTAGCCAATACACTACAGACAGGCAATCTCGAGAAACGTTGGATGCTGTCAATTAAGAAATGAATACCTGTACAGCCTAAGAATTAGTAAGGCTCTTTGGATGAAAACAAGGAAGCAAGGAGAAAAAGGGCCACACCATGAACATGAATAAGGACCCACAACCTGTCTACCCCAAGTGGATGTGTTGTCTAAATGCAGCCCTGGGCTCTGGAATGCTCTTGCTTATATAACCGGATCTTGGATTAGAAGGTTGGAAGGTTACCAAGGCAACACACAGACTGACTTCTAACCCTGGGGCCTGCTCCCAGCCCTAGGTTCCTAGTCCAGTTCAGTCACACATATGGAAAGCTCACTAGAACATCTAACCCCTCTGTATATATAGTCAATATATTCAGTATATTCTGCCATTCGGTGGAGGGAGGTATCAAAAATCTTGAATGGGGCTTCCCTGGTGGTGCAGTGGTTGAGAGTCTGCCTGCCGATGCAGGGGACACGGGTTCGTGCCCCGGTCCGGGAAGATCCCACATGCCGCGGAGCGGCTGGGCCCGTGGGCCATGGCTGCTGAGCCTGAGCGTCCGGAGCCTGTGCTCCGCAACGGGAGAGGCTACGACAGTGAGAGGCCCACGTACCGCATTAAAAAAAAAAAAAAATCTTGAATGGCCTGATCCTATACTTAGAAGAGCAAATTTCCCATTTACTCATTCATTACTTTCTTCTTCCATCCATCTATCATATATTTACAAAGAGCCCGTATGTACCAGACACTGTTCTAGGTGCTGGGCACACAATGATAAACAAAACAGACAATTCATTCCTTCATGGAATTTAGAAGTTAGCAGAGGAGACAGTGGTTAATCAAATAACTTCCCAACCCAAATGTGAACTTGTGGCTGTAATATGTTATCAACACTTGCTGAGGACCAGGAATTATTATGCTAAGTGGATTGCTAAAATGGAACTGAGGCTCGGAGAGGTGATGCAACTTTCCCAAAGTCACACCACCCCAAAGTGATGGAGCTGGGCTTCCAATCCAGAGCCCCCTGATGCAAAAAGCCCACGCACTTGGCTGCTTTTTCACATCTCCCTTGGCGAACTGTGTATCTCATTTCTAGTTTCTGCCCTTTCTCCTTTGAGATCTGGGTTTGGCCTGCAGTCTTTGACATAAAATATTCCAACACCTAATATGTACAATTCACTGGGCTCAGGAAACTTGTTACAGACAAATTTTAACAATGAGAGGCAACAATTATTTTTTCCTAAAGGATATCTGAAAATGAGATCACCACCTGGGCCAAAATTAAAACAGTGTTCTGCACAGAAATTTCTAAAGGTCCTGTATTATTAATACAGCAATGGCGCTCCCTGGTGACAATTATTGTGTATTACATGCTCCTTCACTTGGGGGAGGAATACATTTTGGATGTAGTGGAAGCTTCCTACTGCAAATTTGGACGAACAATAAGCCTCCCCTAGTCTTGATTTCCTTCACTCCTCGTTCCCCCGACCCCACCACACCCAATTTATATCAATTCCAGAGGCAAGGTCACAGGTATAGGGTGCAGTCTCTTTTCACAGTTGAGAGTTCTAGCAACTAGGACACAAGGTCCCCATGAGACTGACAAAGGGTTAAACCATTTGCTGCCAATCTCCAGGATCACTGACCCATTTGGTCATGATGGATTAATCCATCATCTCCCACTTTCTTTTCTGAAAGTAGCGGCTACAAATGACACCCTCCTCCACCCACCTCCCCCGCTCCACACACACACACACACACACACACACACACACACACACACTCTCTCTCTCTCTCTCTCTCTCTCTCTCTCTCTCTCTCTCCCTCTCCCTCTCTCTCTCTCTCTCTCTCTCTGACTCTACCCCATGATTATAGGAAATAGACAAAAATTTACACATCTACTTTGAGCTAGGCATTGAGCGATGGGCTGGGAACACAGTGATGAAGAGCAAGCTGTGATTCCAGCTCTAAAGCTTACACTGTAGCAGGGGAAACAGGTGGCCAACTAGCCTATAAATTATTCACTTTTGATTATAATAATTGGTACAAGAAAGAGGCTCTGAGAGTCTATACCAGTGAGACAAGACCAGATTAAGTCAGAGGGTCAGAAAAGTTACCCTGGAGAAAGAGAGTAAGGGGTGCTGTGCCAAAATGGGGAAGAGGCTGGTCAAAGTCAGGGAGCTTGGGGGAGAATGGACATGAGGCCCAGGTGGTCTGAATAGGGTCTCTCCTGGGGCTAAAGGTGGGTGATGAGTGTGGTACAACGAGGAAGAATAGTCATTAGGTAATCTCCAGGATGGTGAAGTATTAAGAGAGAATGTTGGTCATTAACTTAACCTTTGAGGAAGATTTAGCTTGAGTTAAAGGATGAGTATAAACTAACATCCCGATTTTCATTTTAAGGGTTAAACTCTGTTAAATAGGAAATGGTGGAGTGGAGAGCATCCCAGATCTCTGTCTATTATGCCTCTTCCCAGAAAACAAGGATATTGAAGAATTTATTATTTACAACCCCTCCACTGCTTATGGAAGATGAGGAAATAACAATAGCAGGCAGAATTGCCAGGGGCTGTGGGCAGGAGTTCAGTCAATAATGGACAAAAGGCTGAATGGAAGAGAGGACAGTGGTGGCAGTTCCAACAGTAAACTGGGGCTACAAAAAAATCAAGAAAAAAGCCTTACCTTTGATGCCAGCTAGCTCTCAGAATGTAGAACACCTTAGGTTAAACATTGCCAAGATTTGGATTCAGGAAACCTTTGTTCAAACCCTCCTCTTCCACCTCTAGCTACGTGATCAGGGTAACAAACTTTCTGTGCCTCCATTTCTGCCTCTGTAAAATAGCGATGACAAGATCTGCATTTTAGATTGTGAAGTAGTGTATGTGAAGTACTTAGCATCATGCCTGTAATATTGCAATTACTCAATATTCGTTTATTATTACTGACAATATTTAATACCTGGAAGGAAATACATAAAATAGAGAATCAGGGAAATTTTTTTACAGCAGTTTTCCATTATTTTTCAATTTTCTAAAATAAGTATGCATTTCTATTAAAATCAGAAGGGGAAATACACCCACAATTTCTGAATAAAAGAAATTTGACTAGTCCACTGCTTCCCACATTTCCTGGATCGTATTGTTCAAGAAAGGCGCGGGAATGCATGTTAAAAGCACAGATTCCTAGGCCCCGACCCAGAAATACTGAATCAGAATCTCTAAGGGACAAACCTGTGAATCTATACTTTCAATCAGCCTAGCAGACGATTCTTATAATCAGGCACTTTGAGGACGCGCTGATTTAAAGAGAGAGGGCAGTAACGGAGAGAGGAAGGCCAGCCCAGGCTGCAGCAATCACGAGGGCCTAAGCCTACAAGTCCCATACTGCCCCGCAAACTGGAGACGAGAGTCCGGAGCCTGCCGGGAGATGTAGTTTTCGTCGGCCAGACCTCTGCCTATAAGAAAGCCGGAGATGACTGCCGGAAAACCTCCTGCCCCACAATGCAGAGGTCGGCGGTGTCGTCACCCGGAGAGCGCCATGGATGGGGTGGGCGGTTTCTGCCGCCTCTACCGCCACCTCTGCTGCCTCAGAAGCTGCCGTTGCCGCCGTGCTCGCCGCCACCCTTTCCTCCTCCCCCGCCGCCGCCTCCTCCTTCTCCGGCCCCTCGGCCACCTCTACACGACCCAGGCCCTCTGTCCTTGAGAGGAATCCGTATTCAGTCTCCTTCGCGGGCCCGGGGCGCAGCCATGGCGGACGGTGGGGGCGGAGGGGGCACCGGCGCGGTGGGCGGCGGCGGCGCCGGCCAAGCCTCGGCGGGGGCATCGACAGGCGCGACGGGAGCCGGTGGGAGCGGCGGCCCCATCAACCCGGCCTCACTGCCTCCCGGCGACCCGCAGCTCATCGCGCTCATCGTGGAGCAGCTCAAGAGCCGGGGGCTGTTTGACAGCTTCCGCCGGGACTGCCTGGCCGACGTGGACACCAAGGTAGATTAGGCCGCCTGGGCTCAGGCGGGCCGGGCTGGGCATGAGGCTGCCAGGGTTGCATTTCGCATTTCCAAAGGAGAGAGAAAAACAAAAGACACCTTAAAAATCTCAGCAGCGAGGAGACCGCTTAGGGCAGTATAGGAAGCTTTCTGAGGGATGCCCACGTGGGTTCGGCTCCCAGCCCCATCACTATTCTGTGCGACTTAGCCCAGTCGCATCTCTCAACTTGGGGATCCAACACCGGTTTCACAGCCTGCCTATCTCCTGTCTTTCCCAAGATGGGACTGCTTTAAAGCCCTCAGTAACAAATCTCAGTATGTTAAAAACAGTGGAGGAAACCAGGTAAGTAAGCGTGAATGGTTTGAATGCACAATCATCAGCCTATAATAACTATTCCTTTTCTCTAGCTTAGTGATTTGCAGACTTGCATGCACAGTTAATTAAGGTACATTGTTGTAGAACCAGCACCCTATTTTGTTCTCCATCATTGACTGAAAGGGATTTGGTGCCTATCTTAGATCCTAATGCCATAGGTGAACCAAGTCAACAGATAGTACAATGCTGTTTCACTTTACCTACTTGCCAAGGTTCATTTGTATTCAGTGAAGTCACGTGTGTTAAGTGTCAGACAAACAGCAGTTGCTGGAATGTTCGTTTACTCCCTTCTCAGAAGCTTCTCCAACAAGACTTAGGAGGCTCTGTTCCTGAATGGGCTGCTAGAGGGAAGTGATTTCTCCCCTCTGAGCCTATCATGGAAATCTTTTGCGTACCTCACAGCAAGATTGTGAGCTTAAAACTAGGCCTTCAAAATAGGGAAAGACCTTGTCCATGTACCCATTAAACATTTATTGGTGGGGCTTGTGGATACAGGAACGAGCAAGTCACTACCCAGTCCTCAAAGATTGTATTCTAGGGTAGAAAACTGAAACGTAGACCAGATAGTATAAATAGTAAGTGGTGTATGCTGTTATTCTCCAAGATTAAAAACTCAAGGAGAAGTGCTATCCTTGAAATGGGGTGTTTACTTTTCCTTATTTAAGGTTCCCAGGTACATATTGACAGAGCTTTCACCTTTTCCAGTACTGGGTGTTCTCAACTTCCCATTGCAAGTTCTCCCCTCATGTTTCATTTGTCTCACTGGGTTTTGTGTGGCTTAATCAATGTAGTATACATTTCTTTAAATCGGTATTGAGAATCTGTTGGGGGAGAGGGAATTGGAGCCTTCACCACTTAACATCTCCTTAGATGTTCTTTCTGGTAGTCACCTGGTTGTCTTAATTCTTTTTTTTTTTTTTTTTTTGCGGTACGCAGGCCTCTCACTGCCGTGGCCTCTTCCGTTGCGGAGCACAGTCTCCGGACGCGCAGGCTCAGCGGCCATGGCTCACGGGCCCAGCCGCTCCGCGGCATGCGGGATCCTCCCGGACCGGGGCACAAACCCGCGTCCCCTGCATCAGCAGGCGACTCTCAACTACTGGGCCACCAGGGAAGCCCTGTCTTAATTCTTGAAGATAGTGTGTTTTAGACACATCCTTTATCGCTTTAGTCCCATGGTTCTCAAAGTGTGGCCCCTGGGTCATCAGCATCACCTGACAACTTGTCACGTTTATTGTCAGGCTCCACCCCAGACTACAAACATAAAAAGTGTACTGATGGTGTTTGTAATTTACTTTGCAGTGCATCCAAAATATAAACAAACAGAACAAACTGATAGGTGAAGAAGAGACGGAGATAGTGATAGTAAGTATAATAAAATGTCAGTGGCAGGCACATTAGGTCCTTTCACTTCATGAACTGAAGGGATTATTCTGTATTGTCAGGGTCTCTTAAGGTTTGGTGGTGACATTAACTGTCCTTTGTCCTTTTTCCTGTGAACCGTTTCTATCTAAAACTGGGTGAGTTATTTTGAATCGTAGAAGGTATAGTATCAGAATTAATGGTTAAAAGCTACAAATCTAATTCTAACTCCTGTAAGCCAAGGGGAGGCTCTGTTGGCTCATGGGATCTAAGGAAAGCTAGAATGGATAAACTGCCAGAAGGGTAGGGATGCATTTGGAACCAGGGATGCTCCACTAGGGCTGTCTTTCATGCCTCTTCTTCATAACTCTCTTAACTGTCACTGCAGAGCAGAGTCATCCATCTGGTTACTAGTATCTATTGGTTACATCTTACAGCTTCTTCCTCTAGAAACAGCTCCAGTTCAAAAAATCCCAGGAAGTGTCTGCATCGTCTCAGCATGGGGAGGCACCTACCCCTGTAGCCAGGAGAACATGGCACCCACTGCCCTCCCCACAGTAGTGGGTAATGAAGAGGGGAAGATGGTTGCCAGGAAACAGGAGTTGCTAGGCAGACGGTACAGGGGTATCTGAATTTTAGTCCTCACCCGTCTCCCTGCCTTACTCTCTCCAGGTCTGGTGGAGAGTCTTTATGCCTGTGAGTCACGGCCTTTGGGAAGAGCCCATTCATGGAGTTGAGGCCAATCGATTCCTTTGTCAGTTTCATTGACCTGACTGTTAGCAAACTTTTGTCACAATAACGCTACATGATAAACCAAATCCCAGTGACTTATAACAAACATTTGTTCTCATGCTGATGGGGCTACAAGTCAGCTAAAGTTCCTCTGATCTAGACAGGCTTGGTGCTCAGCTGTAGGTGGCCTGGGCTTGGGTCCAAGCTGTGGGTTGGGGTAGGTCTGCTGCACATGTGCTCATCCTAGGTCCCAGGCCAGATGGACAGGGGCTGCAGAGGACTACCCTCATCAAAGGTCACCAGAGTACAAGAGCCAAGCCAGGTGGCACAGCCACATTTAGGACCTCTTGTCACTAACACTCTGTTGGCCAGAGCAGATCACACTGCTAAACGCAGTGTCACTGGGGTAGGGAAGTATTCTCTGCCCACAGTGGGAGGAGAGAGGAATGAAGTGTGAACAGCAATGCACACTGCTACACCTGGTTTGGAGAAGAACAGCTAGTGGTGCCAGAAGGTCTTGGAGGCTTAGAACATGCATTCCTTATGTTCACATGGATTCCTTGTGTTCATCAGGTTCCTTTCTGATTTTGTTCTGATCCTAGTTGGGTCTAGAACATTTGAGACCAACAAGTGCCTCTCAGGCTCCTTTTGGGACTTAAGTTTTGCTTCCCTTCAGCCTTTCCCAGTGTTCCTTAGGCGTTGACTTCAGTCTGCATTCATGAGTCATGCTGAGGGTTGGGTGGGCCTTCATTTTATGCGGAGAACTTTCCCGAGGCCTTGCTTGTGGCCAAGAAGACCCTGTGAGGTAAGCAGGGCAGTAATACTTGTTTTACAGACGGAAATAACTGAGACTCAGGTTGGCTGACCTGTCGAAAGTCAGAGAGCTAGTAAGCAATGGAGCTGGACTAGAACCCATTTCCTTTGATTTGGAAACGGCCTGGGTCTAACCTTGGCTTTGCCACATTTTAGCCTTGTAGGCAAGTTGTTTACTTTTTCTAAGCCTGTATCCTCTAACATGAGAGCAGGAGAGGGCCAACAGGACCTCCCCCGTAGAGTTATTTGAAAAGTAAGTGGGGTAATAAAGCATCTGGCATTGTAGCAGGCACACATGTTGGTCATTAATCCATGCTCTGCCATGCTGCGTGATGATCTTCATGGACACGATGGGAATGTATTTAAGGACCTGAAATTCTGCATTTCTATGAAAAGCAGTGTTCTGAATGACTAATTTCCAAAACTTTGGTGCGTGTAACTTCTGACCTTGCCCCTTCTTTTTAATATTTTAGCCAGCTTACCAAAACCTGAGGCAGAAAGTGGATAATTTTGTGTCAACACATCTGGACAAGCAGGAGTGGAATCCTACGATGAACAAAAACCAATTGCGAAATGGTCTGAGGCAGAGTGTGGTTCAGTAAGTAAGCAGAATTGAGAGCGAAAAGGCAGTTATCACAAGCGTGACTCGCAAGAAGGCCAATGCAAGGCACTATTTGGTCAAGGTGCATGGTACTTTCCAGCAAATGTGACATACAAGTTACAGCAGACCCCGCCCCTATTAAAATTAAGGTTCAAGTAAGCAAAGAACTCAATTGAAATTCTTGCTACCCACATAGGCCTCCCATGCACACCTCTACCAGGAAAGATATTCCAAATTGTAAGACATATTTCATACTCTTGAAGTTTTCAGTGTAATGTGAACATACGCTGGAGTTCATACCGATATATCAATGTTTGGGTCTTAGGCAAGAGCAGCTGGATCTTCTCACAAGTCAGTGTGGGTTATACAAATTTTCTGAATCCACACGGCCCCTCTAAAGTGTAATGGCAGCTTTCAGGAAGGCATGGAGTCTTATTAAGGTATATTCTTCACAGCAGCAAACTGAACCTTAGTTAATGAGGTGCTACTGATCGCTCATCCAAGTGACTTCTCAGTGTCAC